TGTCAATATTGCGTGAAGCGGCTGTAAAGAAAAGAGGAGGTTTCTTTTGTTCTTTGTTAGTTTTCCTTTCTTACTCTGGTTCCATTTGGTTAGTATTTCCTTATTTCTTTATATAAGTCTACCGAAGAACGGTAAACGCGTGTCACTCAAAAGCAATTATGTCTTTATTGCCTGAGACCGGGCAATTCCACCACGAATCTCTTTGATAAAGATGTCTTCCAGCATCCCTTGCAGCGACAGACCTTGCATGTCCGACTGTTGACCGGCCATGCCTCTGGCGATGATATCTGTGATGATTGTTCTTTCATTCGGGTACATTATCTGTTTTCTCATCCTTTCCACTTTCTGAAATTTGTAGATGCCGCCAACTGCTAGCGCCGCCGGTGATCTGTATTTGTAGTTCCTCATAGTGGAAGGTTTGATACGATGTGGAGCTGGTACGCGTATAATTGAGGGTGTTAGTGCATACTAGTCCTTTAAAAGTCGGAACACTGGTCTCATGAACACGTTGCGTGTATCTTCTATTCCATGCGTCTGGATTAGCCTTGTGCGAGGTGCGATAAAAAAGCTTTTATTTTTCCAAGATACAGGCAACTCTGAGTAACATTGGCTGATTCGCTTTGCTGAGACTTCCACAGGATTAACTTCCACAGGATTACATTTGATTAAATGAACTACTTTGCTAATGACGTTAGCCGTATATCTTGGTCCGCTCATGTAAGCATAAACAAACTTGCTTGGATTTAAGGCAGCGAGTGCTAACTGTACCGCTAAAGTTTCTTCTCGCTCAGGCATCGTTCCAGTGACAGTCGGTGATATAGTTGTTCTAACCAATTGCCGAACGTTTTGTCAAAGTAAATAAATTTCGAGTTCATGTATGTAAACATGTTAAGGGCGACTGCTGGAAGACGTTGCCGTTTGAAGTAGAATTGTCCTGACGTAGAAAGCACTATCACTAGCTTTGGGTGTTCTGTACGGAAGATAATGAATGCGCACGCACGGTAGGGTTCGTCACTCTCAAAGCAAAGATCTGCCCTCCTTGCTCTACAAAATAAGTCTCTCGCTGTTGGTCTTCTGAGGCCTTTCGTCTTATGACTGTTGCGAGCTCTCCGTATAGAACAACATGCTTCTTTCCACTGCATGCTTCTTCTTTAGTAGCTTTCCAAAAGGTTTCTCCATTCTCTAGATTCACACAGTAGCTCGTCGAATATTTGCAGAAAAGGTGGAGTCGCGGTCTGATTTGATCCTCGGTGATAGATGCTTCACAGTCATATTAGTCAGCGTTATTTGATAGTTCGCTTGCACAATTACATTCTGCCAATCTCCGTATTAGTCACTGTACGCCGCCGCGTGGCATAAACCTTCGTGATTGACGTATCCGGCTAATGCAGCATAACGACTATGGCTTTGTCCAGTGGTTAAGCCTTGAAATATGATGTCGGATTGAGCTCTGAAGGTGCCAAAGCGGTGCATCTCTTTACATGCGCCTTTTCCGATAAGCTGAATATAATTTCCTTGACCGTGCCGTACTTCAGATGCGTGTGAGTGCATGCCACAGTACGTTATTTTTCGAATGACAACGACCTTACACTGCAGCACCTCCACTGGATAGGAGTCTGCTAGCTGTACCAGTTGCATTGTCGTTGTCGTGACAGCTGGTTTTGACGCGTTCGTCTCACAGGTTCCCATAGAGGTTGCATCAGTAGTTGTGAAATTTACATTCTGGTGTGAGCAGTCGCACGCGATTAAAGCTTGTGTATCTACGAACGCAGACAACAGAAGCAAGGAGGGGCATGTCTAGCTAGGCTTCAATTTGGTTGGCGCAGCATTCTCGTTTCGCTCCTTCTTTACAGTTGCCATCGTTGTCATGGTCAAGTGCACTTCTTCTTCTGGAGCCTCTTCTTCACGGTCCCTGTCACCTTTCGTGGTACTCTCTTTCGTTGGTTCTTTAGAAACACTAGTGTTGTTATCTACCATTACTAGCTTGGTTTCGAGAGGGTAGAGTAGAGCTATTGACCGTTTCACAAATTTTGGAAATTCTCCTACCTGGTCCTTTGGTGGCCTCACTTTGGCGTTGGTGATTTCTCCTCTGTTGTTCGTTATCAGTTCGGTAACACGTCTCAGCTTCCACCTCGTTCGTGGTTTCGTTTCGTTTTTGATAAGAACCACTACTCCACTTCTGGGTTTTCTCGTGGTCAAATTTTTCCCTTGGTGCTGTTTTTCGTCTCCTTTTTCTCTCAAAATCTGAAGATATCTTTTTGCCCATTCATGCTGGAATCTGTTTATGCCTTCTTATATTTTCCTGTAGAAAGCTTGTAGCTCCTTTCTTCCCCAAAAAATTCGGAGAACTTGTGACCTGGCTCTGCGAGTAAGCTGCCTTCTTTTAAAGGCATGACTACCTTTGGATCAATGAAGTCAATTGGTTAAAGAACATCCATGGTATCATCATCCACTGATGTGATAGGTCTTGTATTTAGAATGCCCCCTATTCTAATCACAGTTTTTGCAATTTCGTCTACCTTCAGTAGACGAATGCCCCCTATTTCTTTTCATTCAACAAAAAAATTTTAGCTTTCACTCCGCACATCTTTCATTTACCTCTACAGAGAACTACCTCTTTAACCAAAGCAACACTGCTTGCTTCCATCAACTCTTATATTTCGGTCGTTATGCTTCGTATAACGCCTCTGTATGCCTCTGTTTTAAAATTAGTAAGTATTCTTGACGAAGGCAAGCCCAGTAAAAGTCTATTAGCTCCAAAATGCATATTTAACGGCTAAAAAATTCTTTTTTTGAGGTGAATTGTAATCTAGGTTTCAAATGTTCAAACAATATCATTCCAGTAATACCTCCTGAGCGCAGAAAACCTATTAGTGTCATAACAATTGCCATCGACTCCTCGTATACATATGTTAAAGACCGCAAATTCGTCGCCGCAGCCACCGCATACGAAATCCGCCAAAACCTTCAAATTTAAATATTCATTTTCTAGTCTTTTCTGCTGATGTTATTTGGCAAATCCTAATCAACCTTTCATAATACCTTCTCCGTAACGATGCATACTTAACGGTAAACTTCCAGCTTATTCCCTCATTTGCACAGTAAGCAGATGCATCTTTTTTTGCTAACAAATTGTTTCAAAATTAAACCAGTGCTTTAGTTAGTCGTCTAAGCTTCATTGCAACAAATCTAAACCAGTTCAGAAAGATTAACGTGTTTACATCAAGAGTTAACTCTACACGATTATTTCGTGAGTCAATAAACTCACCGTTATTCATTTCAACTGAGTCAGGCTACCTCGAACTAACGCCCATCCAGTTTGACGATAATACAAGTATTATATCAAAAACCGAGGTACTTGCATCATGATCCGACTTGATAGACATTTGTTCGATCTGATTAAATTCAAATTCAACGTGAATTTGGTCTTTCAACTTTTCAGTCAACTCAGCTCTTTCTAAATCCTCTTTCTTAGGTGTTACGATGTAGCTGCTGTCAGTAACAATGTACTCGAAATGACACGAAAAGCTGCACGTTTAAGTGAATGTACGATAAAAGATGTAAACCGCAGAAAAATATATGAGTTACAAAAGCTGCGTTTGTGTTCCTATCTTCCTTGTGCAGTTTTATTTGTAGGAATGCCTCTCCAGTGCAATTAGCCCATATTCAAACGTGCGGAATTTCAGGAAAACGCTACTCATTTTCGGTAGCATAGCTGGTCTGCAACATTAACTTTCCTTCAAACTTAATAAATTTTTAATTGATTTAACTGACGCATTGCACGCGATTTGCTCGTTCTTAGTTTGCTTATTTGCAGTAATTAACAGGATGTTGTGAAAAATAAGAAGAATTTTACTCTTCCGCGAGAGCTGCAGCAGCAAACTTCTGTTCTGCATCGACTGTTTGAATGCTGGAAGAAGAACTGTAATCACATATGGTCTTACAGAAAAGTAAGGAATAAACATAGATACATATTATTGTAAAAAAACTATCACCGAATTTCTATTATTTTAAAAGACAGTTACGGCGACAATAATACTTCTTCGAGCTTTTTCATTTTTTTCCTTTCATTTTTGCCCCGTGATTCATGCTACATTTATTCTGCTGATACCATGCTTAATAGTATTAACATTAAGGACGATTTCCAACGACGGTACACTGAAAACCCTTTGAAATGGTCTACTCTTTCAATGCTGTCAACAACTACACATTTCCCTCCGCTTTAATAACATTAGTAAAATTTGTATTTCAAATGCTTGAAACTAAAATTATAGAAGACTGGCTCAGCCAAAGGAAGATAACTGTTGAAAGTACTTTGCTTCCACCTTTGGATTACATTAATCCAATGACCATTATTTAGACAACTTGTTTTTCAAGCTACAATGTATGCAAAGTGACGCTGTCCTATTGTTGAAGCAGACGTAATATCCAACTGAGTTCCGCTTTCCTTAGTGGTGAAAACAGCTATCACTTACTTAGCAAAGGCATTTTGCTAAAATCTGGGCCCTGTCGGCACTACGAGAAGGGCATTTGAAGAAAAAACAAATAACATTAATTGTGGCTGGTGGAATGTTGCCAATCGCGACTCTCGTTCTTTTTTGACAGCAGTTACTGTTTGTCTAATAGACTTCGTGATGGAAGTTTGCATTTGGTTAACTACTACTTTTGAATGTTGTATCTGCCGTGCATTGGATTCCTGCTAACCTGACTGATGAAATCGTCTTGCAGATTTTTTTTTTT